CTTAATACATTTGTTAAATCTGCAATTCCATTATTGAAAACATTTTTCAAACGCATCTGTTTGGATGTCTGACAGTACCTCCCTTGTTTTTTAATTCACCTCTTCTATTTCACCAAATCGCTGTCCTTAGATGCCCCTCTTCATTCACAGAAACAATACGAAGTCACACAGAGTGAGGTCAGGTGAATAAGGTGCGTGGGGCAAGAGAAGCATGCTGTTTTTTGCCAAAAAACTGGTCCACTGAGATGGCTGCATGATCTGCATGAGCAGGTGCATTGTCACGGTGGAAAAACCAGTCCCCTGTCTGCCACAAATCAGGCCCTTTTTTCACACACTGTTACACAATCTTTTCAGAACCTCTAAATAGAAAGCTTGGTGAACAGTCTGATCTGATGGAACAAACTCCAAATGCACGGCAAATCAGCATTTTCGTCCATTTCGGAAGTTGTCAGACATCCAGAATGAGGTTTGTCATCAATTGACATTTCACCTTTTTTGAAATGAGTAAGCCACTTGTACGCTTGAGTTTTTTACATAACGCTGTCCTTGTTAGTTGTGTTCAACATCAAAACAGTTTCTGTGGCATTTTTCCCAAGGAGAAAACAAAATTTCACAGCCACACGCTATTCTCTTAAATCTGCCATCACAAAAAATGAGGTTCTAACATAACTGCTTTTTTGAAAAAATTCACCATGACCAGAGAGAACCTTCCCAGGTGACGCCACTGTGTGCATTAACTCGGAGCAAGTTGTTAGATGCTTGCTTCACCGTAAAAAATGTGCCCTACTGAAGCTCCACCCAGTGGAGCTTTTACTCTTTCTTTTGTTGGGGGAACCCCCTCATATGTATTTCGTCTGAAGAAGTCAATGTGTATAGTCTTCTTTTGTGTTGGTCAAAAAGGTTATTTGCTATGATCATTTATTTTGCAAAATTCCATCAATAGATTTTCAGCTTTGTTCCTGGCACCAAGTCTATAGTTTCCAACTTTTGCTCTTTCCAGCATTTGCATTCCAATCACCAGTAATTATCAGTTCTTCTTCTTCTTCTTCTTCTTCTTCTTCTTCTCCTTCTTCTCCTTCTTCTCCTTCTCCTTCTTCTTCTTCTTCTTCATGATTGTGTGTTTGGCTAATTTCTGACTGAAAACACTAGTAGAAGTCTTCAATTTCTTCATTAGTAGCTTTTGGAGTTGGTGCATTAATTTGAATAATAGTTGTAATGTTTAGATTTCCTTGAAGGTGGATAGATATAGTCCTATCACAGACAGCATTGTACTTCATGATTGATTTTATGATGTCTTTTCAACAATGAATGTCACAACATTCCTCTTGACGGTGTTATTCCTGGTGTAGTAAATCATAATTTTCTGATTCAAAATGGCTAATACCAGTCCATTTCAGCTCACTAATGCCTAGGATATCGATATTTATGTTTTCTATTTCATTTTTAACCACTTCCAATTTTCCCCGATTCACACATCACATGTTCCAAGTTCCAATCATTACTAGATTTTTTTCAGCTCTTTCTCCTTACATGCAGTAGTGCCCCATCAGCAAGTGAAGAGCTACAAGAACCCACTCCTACAGGCTTCTCCCCATTCATGTCATCATGGTCAACTCCACCGCAAGAAATTAGCTTCTCCTCAGTCACATTTCGAGTGCCTCCTACCAGAGGGACCGATGCGCTAGCACTATATTGTGCTACCATTCATCAGGGCTTCATTATCTGCCAGTTTTTACAGAGGTATGCAAAGGATTTTTGAGGCTCTTTCCTCTGAAGTGGGGAGCTCAGTCCTTCTTTTTTATCTGTTCTTAATCTGGAAGCTCCACTGAAATCTGTTTGGGTGAGCTTGCTGGAATTTGAAAAATCAGTGACATAGTTTCCAGCATCACATCAATACACAAGCCACCACAGTATGACCAACTGACAGAGATGATCGTTCATCTTTAACATAATAATACAGTAAACTATAATAAAGTATTGATGGACATTATAAATTAGTGCCCATTTTTATTACAAGCCATTAGATGTACCTCACAATTTTAATTGAATAATCTTTTGTAAGCATTAGAAAGAAGCATGTTGTTGTGGATAAATGCTCAGCAGCTAACTAAAAGGCTGAATGTTCAAACCCACCTGTTCATTGGTTCTCAATCTTCCTCATGCCGTGACTCTTTCATACAGTTCCTCATGCTGTGGTGACCCCCCAACCATAGAATTATTTTCATTGCTACCTCCTCACTGTCATTTTGCTTAGAGAAGGATGTGTCCATCTCCTTCTGTGAAGGTTTTCAGCATCAGAAACCCTAAAAGGAAGTTTGATTCAGTCCTGTAGGGTCAATAGGAGTCAGAATAGACTTGACAGCAATGAGCTTCTTGGTTTGCTTGTTTTTGTGTGGAATCGAACCATGGATGTATATGCAATGAATTGATGTCTGAATGGGTATTATGTGACACATGAATGCATATATTAAAAAAAAAGCCTATAAATGAAATGCATGTCCCTTTGTGGAAAACCCACACATTTTTGATTTTCCGCATAAAAGGAGAAACTGCATTTTGGACTAGAAGCCTTCAATCGACCATAGTTGAACACTAAAAGTTGAAAAACATGCTAGAGGTTAATGTGAATATTTGTCTAGCTAAATGATAGATATAACTCAATTTTTCTCTCCTATTATCTTTCATATACAACATATTCCAAATCACTGTATATACGTTCATCTAAATTTAAAAGCTATTCTTTAATTTATTCAGTAATTATATTAAGCACTAATTCTAATTGGAATATAAAATGAAATATATTCATTGTCTTCTAGTTGATTCTGCTTCATGGAAACCCAAGTATTACAGAGCAGAACTGTGCCATAGAGTTTTCTTGACTGTAGTCTTTCTGTAAGCAGATCGACAGGTCTTTCTCCCACAGAGATTCCAGGTGGATTAAGACCACAACTTTTAGGTGAATAAGTGTGTGTAACTGCACCACACAGGCCACATAAATACACAGTGCATAGATAGCAAAGGTTAATCAAAATTCAAAGTGGAGACAAGAAATATAACATAAAGAGTCTGACCTCAGGAGCCCTAAATGATTAGTCTTTGTCTCCAAGAAGCTTCTTGTCCTGACCATGCATTAGTTTGGCAGATAGGTATAAAAAGGCACTCTGTGTTTCATTTTATTTTCTTTGAAAGCTAAATAAAATATTGAAAATTATCTGATGAATCAAAGGCTAGTTATAAAATTTAATGAACTCCATGATATTTTTTAGAAATCAATTTGTAGTTTCCCATAGTGTATGCCATGCTTGTAGTAGACTTCATATGGTCTTTATTTTCCTCAAAAACTTTAAAACAGGATAGTTTTTATTAATGGTTTACAGAATAGGAGTACTTGCAGTGTTCTTATTATTGCCATGCACCTGTCTCATTTTGCTGGTAAGAAGATTGCCTTCAAAAAGTGAAGTGACTTGCCCCAAGTCATGTAGCTGATGTGATCAGGAACACTCTTATTTCCATTTCAGTGCTTTCCAAAATGCTCCACGTTGCCTAAGATTTCTTTCCTGTGAAGAACTGTACATAAGTGAGTGCACTGTAATCTTCCAGAGATTTCGAATCTCCTAGGGCAGCAGCTGTGCTTGAGAGAGCAGAGATGAGCAGGACCCAAAGGGGACCACAATGCTCCAAGGATCCTCCCTGCTCATCCCATGTTCCTCTTGTTGGGCCGGCTCCTTCCCTCGCTTCTCTTCTCTCATCTAACCTTACTAATACTTATCCCCTGTCCTCTTGAAACCAGCCCACTGGGGCACATCAGTGTTTTTTATGACCTTAGCTAATCCGCGTGATCTTGTATTAGCACCTCACATTCATTGAAGAGACAGGATAACTGAGTTGAAATTCTTAACTGGGAAACTTGAATTTAGTTCATTTGTTCTGGCTGGAACAGATTTAAAAGATGCTTTAAATCAAATTTAAATGCCTCTATACCAGATCTTTAGAATCTCACAATGTTTTGGAGCTATGCGTAAACTTTTTAGTGGCTGTTTTCCCCGGAAACAGGCAGCCAAATTCTGTCTTCATAGTCTGTTCTTACTCTGGAAGCTCCACTGAAACCTATTCACTTTGGGTGACCCTGCTGGCATTTGAAATACCGGTATCGTAGCTTCCAGCATCACAGCAACACACAAGCCACCGCAGTACAACAAAATGACAGACACACTGACTGATCTAGTCCCTGGAGAAGGACATGATGCTTGGGAAAGGAGAGGGGCAGTACCAAAGAGGAAAGGCCTCAAGAAGATGGACAGACACAGTGGTTGCAACAGTGAGCACAGGCGTAGAATCTATTCTGAGGATGATGCAGGTCCGGGTAGGGCCAACTGTGCATAGCGTTACTATGGGTCGGAACTGGCTCAGCGGCACCTTCTCTAATTGATTATACCATTCCTTATTGGATTATGTCTACTCATTTCTCAAACCTGTCTGACCACGAAGCAAATTTAAGGTGATTACTGTGAGCATCACATCTTCCTGAGAGAGTTTGACAGGCAGGCTTGTGATCTTTTTTCTTTTCTAATCTTTAGCTTCCTGAGGATCTCTTTTCAATTGAAATAATTGCTTGTAGCATTTCTGTCAATGCTCAGAGTTTACTCTTAATATGTCCAAAGTGACAGTGTTCTCTACTCAAGCATGACTATCAGGGGCTCAAGTGAGATTGGAGATGGATCAGAACTATGCTCTGGATAGACAGTTCAAAGCAACCCAGTTAAAATGCATTATTGTGGATGATTGAGAATCTTGAAATAAAATTCATTATCAGCATCTTAGTATACTGGCAAAAATGCCAAATAAGTCAGAATGTTTTGTTCCACGCTGACTGATTCCTTGTATTAGTTGTGAAAATATTCTCCTGGGATGGGCATAGTCTAGAAAGGTTGCTAGGTTAGGCAAAATTATGTGTTTCCTTGACACCAACATGGATTTTGCTTGAATCCTTTCCACAACAGGTTGCCAACTTGGCCTGCTCTATATCCAACAATGAAGAAGGGGTGAAATTGGTCCGGATGGCAGCCACTCAGATCGACAGTCTTTGTCCCCAGGTAAGCCTAGTTTATTTGGTTTCAAAAAGTTGTAAGTGCCCCGCTAATTCAGAACCTTCCCTCTACCCTCTATTCATAATATCAGCCCCTCCCTTTCTCCCATTGTCTCATTTCTTCTCTCTAAAAAATGCTACCTATCATTCAAACTCTACTGTTATCAAAAGGTAATTCTAATGACTCCAATCTCTTCAGAATAACCATGACAATTATTGTATTTTTCACTCACATTGACTTTGCTGCATTTGTTTTGGGTGGTTATTTAAACACTCATTATCTCCTTAATATGCTCCAACAAGTAAATTGTTGGTTTGCACAAGTAGCAAGCCAGGGTTGTATTTCTGCCACGTCTCTGCTACATACATGGAACGTGCCCAGTGACTACTTATTTATTTATTTTTTTTACATTTGAAGCTAATTAACTCAGAATAACAATAAAGAAGAGCAAAGCAGAAAAGAATACTTAAGGTGGTTGATAACTGTTCTACATTTCACATTTCTGGTTATCCTTTCTGAACATTGAGAATCCCCTTGTCTGCAGAAACTACAGGATCCAATGGCTTCGCTCTGGTTTTTGACCTACTTGTTCCTTTTTTGAGGAGTGTGGTTGGTCATCATTTTCCTGGATTGTTTTTAACAAACAGGTAATCAATGCTGCTCTCACACTGGCAGCCCGGCCACAGAGCAAAGTAGCTCAAGATAACATGGATGTCTTCAAAGATCAGTGGGAAAAGCAGGTGCGTGTTCTCACGGAGGCCGTGGATGACATCACCTCAGTGGATGACTTCCTCTCTGTCTCAGGTAATCACTGTAAACCGGTCTGTAACCAGGCAACTGGAGAGCTGTGGGACCACAAGATGAAATGAGGAGGAGCTCATAAATGTCATGGGTCTGGGTTTCCAATGGTTGCCTGGGTCCTTCTAGCTTTCAAACATGTCTGCGAGTGTGATTATAGCACCGTTTGAAAGTGCTTTTTGGCGTGTACCTTATTTCAAGACATTGAGTCATGTCATAAAGGGAAACATTATTTCTGATAAAGATGTCTGAGGCCTGAACAGATTATTGAAGGAAGTTTAGATTCTCTGTTTTTTATGTGTTTTCTTAAAGCAGTATAATTTTATTTTATTTGTTCTTTTAAACAGGATGGCGTTTTGATGCTTCTGAGTCATCCATGCATAAAAAGAGTCTGAGGGATATGGATGAAATAAAATAACTTCTACCTCACATGTGTTCATATTTGAAAATAGACAAGGGGCTATTCTAATTTGGATATGTTAAGTGGGTCAGCTTTACAATAACTTTGAAGCTTCTCAGGTCTGTGCAGAACTATTAGATACAGAACGGACCCATAAAAAGGCACTTGGTAGCAATGGAGGCTTGGAGCATGTATCTATGAGCTTGTATACGTACTTAATTGGGTGAAAGAAAATAGAACAAGTCATCTCTTGGAATGCAATTCTCTTCTTGATAAATTAAGCCAGACTGGGGGAGGCAAGTGGATTTGAATAACCGCAGAGTTAATTTAGTCTTTAACAGGACTCCTCAACAGGGCTTCAAGATTTAGTCAACTGGACATTTTTTTTCTTCTTCTCCAAACCCATTTGGCCAATTCACTTTGAGGAACAATTTATGAGGAGCAGTGGGGGAGAAACATCAGCCTCATTTAGGAAGTAGTAACATAACCAGGTCACCTTTGATATTCAAATTGTTCAAATATTGATCCTACCCAGAGGTGTGTGGAATACGCAGGATGCCCAACACCAGCACCCTTACTTCTGATCACAACTAGCTCTGTGCTATTGTTGAAAACAGGTCAGTGAGGGGAGGAAGGGTCCCTCACTGATGGTGGGGACCAGGGACACCAGACATCTGGCGTCAGCATGTGGATATGATCTCTGGGGAAAGACTATTGAGTTTGGACAGGTTTCCTAGTCACAGTCTTTCTGTTTTCTAAAGAAGACACGCAGTTCTCCAGGGGCTTGCGTTTGAGCTTTGTCTGAGCAGCATGATCAGATCTGTAGCTGTGATAAACTATAACAACTGAGGGAGAGACAGGCAGGGCAGGACCACCGAGCTAGCACCTGCTCAGTGTCTGCTATTTGCTTTAATGCTCATTAAAATTCTATAAAATAGGTATTGGTGTTCTAAGTCTTCCTGTGAGGAAACGGAGTCTTTGGCAGCGTCGGCAACTCAGCAGAGGCAGTACTAAAAGCCGGGTCACCCTCTTGCCACCAGCTGTCGTTCTCAGTTAGTGAAGACCAAAGTCACCTTTCCTTTGGTGCTTTCTGCTTGCCTTTCAGCACTTCTCCCCAAATCACAATAGCTTCATTCCGGTTTCCAATCCCTTTCAGAAGCCCGTGTTCTTTTCATTTCCAAGGTGTTTGCTCGGATTTGTCAAAGCAGCTAGGCATTTAAATATCCCCATACCTTACGATTGACCCATAAAGAACACAAGGTGTTAGCCTGTCTGGAATTTCTGGTGTACTGGTAGCCGAATCATCAAGTCCTACGTGACTCCCGGAGGACTGTCTCTGCAGCAAGGGGTTGCGGGTGTGTTTAGATGCGGGCTTGTTAGGTAAGCAACGGAGGGAGGCTGCTGCTGCTACTGTCAGGGTCACAGCGTCATTTTCTGCTCCCGGTGACACTGTGCACGTGGAGGAGAACTGCTCCCCGGGGTTTGCAGGTTGTGACTTCAGCCGCAGCATTCCTATCAATCGTTTGACTAGCAGTGGGGTATGTAACCATTGGTACCTGACTTAGGACAACGGAAAGGCCGCTGAGAGTCCTAAGCTGTTTTCGAGTCCCCTGCCCACTTTTGTCAGGGCAACTACAGGAGCCCTCAGTAAGGAGAGGGATCTTTTAGCCATCCTGACAGCCCTTAGAAACCTGCCTCCGCATCCCATTCTATGGACAAAGGGGGAGAAATTACTCACAGGCTGCCTTTTTGAGGGAGGAATAATTTCAGAAGTTAAAACTTTCTCAACTTAGCCTTTTCTTGAAATGCATATACAAAATGTTCTGAGGGCGGGCAGCAGCAAGGTGAGTAGGTCTTATCTCAAACTTTTTTCAATAGGACAAAGCCGCTCTTAATTTTCTACCCTCCAGGCCTGCCTCTTTGCCTCCTCGCTCCCTGCCATTACTGTGTGCATTTCATTATTACCAGTAAGAGGAAAAGGCTTTGGCTGCCGCTGATAACACAGCGCAGTCCAGCCCCAGCAGTACAAGTGCTGCGGCTGCTCTGACAGGCAAAGGAACAGGCGCTGTCAGAGAGCCAGGCTTGGCAGGGCCTGCGCGAGCGTGCCTTTACAGCTGACAATTGGAGGCGGCAGGCACCTTTCCGCAGACGGACTTGACAAATAATGACACAGCTCCACGCCATCCTGCTGGTAGGCTGTGGACATAGCCCAATAGTTTGGGAAACTACTTCCTTGTCTCCCATCTGAGCCAGGGCCAAAATATTTGCATCCGTAAATTGCAAGTTGGCCCAGGAGATATTTTGAAACGACATTAAAGACATTTTATATCAGTTTTATTTTTTCTTAGGGGAAATACCTCTTCTGGCAGGAAACTTTATTTAAATTAAAGAAATAAAAGCTTTGTTGTTAAAAGACGACAATGCTTTTTCACCTGAACTGGTGCTTAATTCATCTCTCTGAAATGCAACAGGCTGGGAGTAGGCGTGGGGGGATAGGGGGCGGCAATGAGACTAGTAGTAGAGGAACAAAACCAGTTTGAAACATGGCCAGGATCATAGAAAAGAGAAATGACTATGTTAGAGCAGTTAAACATTTCCCACTGGACCAATAATAAAAATAATAATAAAAGGGAATTGTGTTTTAAAATATGTAACTTGGCATTAGTACATGAGTGTAATTCTTGGGTTTGACTCAAAAAAATGACAGGAATCTGGGATCAAAGTTTATTGTGTGAATTTTCACAAGTAAAATAGCTTAAGATGCTAGAATTTTAAAAAAAGAAAGAAAGAAAGAAAGAAAGAAGGCAAATATGACAAAATCTCGGACATTGTTCACACAATGAACCATGTTTTAAAAAGTTCTGGGTTTTTTTTTAAGACAAATCTTTGAGGTTTATAAAGATCAAATTGCTTGGCCACCAATGATTCTCATAACCAGATTGCTCATGTTTTGGAACTAGGAAGGCTGCAGCCATTCCAGGAAGCACTCACAGAAGGTGTTGCAGCGCAGTGTTCCCAGAGCATGTTGTACCCTGTACCCTGGCTGCCCTCTCCAGCAGTGGCATCCTGTGTGGAATGCATCAACCTTTTATTATTACTTTCACCTCCTAATGCTTGTTTTTCAATTGGAATAGCATTCCTCTGTCTCAGCAGTTCTCAACCTGTGGGTCGCGACCCATTTGGGGGTCGAAGACCCTTTCACAGGGGTCACCCGATTCATAACAGTAGCAAAATGACAGTTATGAAGTAGCATCGAAAACACTTTTATGGTTGGAGGTCACCACAAGATGAGGAACTGTATGAAAGGGTCACGGCATTAGGAAGGTTGAGAACTACTGCTCTATCACCTTACTTTCAGAATTTTTTCTCTTGGAAACACCATAGGATCAAAATGTATAATTTCTCCTTTTCTATAGACCTGTTCATTCCAAACATCTTTGAGTGAGGGCTGGATTCAAGACATGGTCAGGAAAACCCGTAGGAATCAAGTATGAGTTAATGATGTTGCTGCTACTCTTAAAAGATTCTAGGCAACTCTGCTACCCAACCTGTGGGAGGGAGAAATTACTGCAAGCAAAAAGTCCAGCACTTATGTATACACTAAGTGTGGCCATTTGATCAAATGAACCATATGCCTGCATGAAGGGGGTCAACCTTTTCTCAAATACAATGCTGTTATCTGGATTAATTTAATATCAATATACTTAGAAGTATGACAGAGTCTTAATGACTTTTATTAGCATAATGTATAACATGCATCTATGTAAACTACTCCATTGAGGTAATTGTCTTTTTTTTCCTTTAAAAAGGATCTCACAGAGTAACCTTAAGAATCATTGATTCAAATATTTTCACATATTCAGGAAAAAGTTGATTCAGAAAATACTAATCTATTATTAAGTTGCAATATTAGTAAAATGAATAAATATTTTAGTCACATAACATGAATAATTTGGCTAAACATCCAATGAATTGCTTGATAATTTGATTAAATTCAATGCCTTTGGTAAAATAGATTTTCAGCCTTTCCTGGTCTCCTTCCAGGAGAAAGATGAAGCTTGTTGCCCTGTAAAGAAATGCTGTCTCAAAAACCCACAGGGCAGTTATGCCATGCCCTGTAGGGTCGTTATACATACGAATTGACTCAGTGGCAGTGAATTTGGTCTTTGCCTCCTTGGTCTAGTTATATATAAAATAGTATTATCATTATTGATGCTTATGTCATTTAATTGCACAGCCCTACCTTAGGAAACAGTTTATTAAAATAATAATTTCACTTTTAAATATTAGGCCATGAGTAGACTTTGGAGAAGAAAAAAACAAGTTTATTAATTGCAGAGGGGTTAGTACCTAAAAATAATTGAGAGATTGCTTACTGTTTTACATTAGTTCCAAAATTCCATCTTTAAGTTATGCTTAATCATTAACAGGAATGCAGTAACTATGCCTATTATGCAACTATGCTATTCAAAGAAAATGGCCACTGCATGCATGCTTTTTCTATGAAACCCCATGTAGAGATTCCCTTAGGGATCAGGTCATGTTTTTTATTGTCTCAAAGATTCTAGCTGAGCATTTTAAAAACGATTCTTTGAATCAAGCTTTCACATTTAAAATCTTGTGCCAAGTTCCCTTTCATTAACATCCCCCCCCCCCCCCCCCCCCACACACTCACACACTCAGATGTTCTTTTGATGGGTTTTCAGGATACATTCCAAGACCTTATAAAGTGGAATTTTTTCCCCAAAATTCTTTAATCCAAATCTCTTGCATCTTTATTTTCACAACTATGGGTATTTTGTTTGGTTTGTTTGTATATTTCACAGAGGGAAATATTGATATTTGGAAAAGTCTGCTTATTTGTGAATGTAATAATTTGAGGTATTAAAATTTAACTGTTAGGTCCCTGGAGTGGTATTCCTCGGTTCTTGCTTCACAGCTCTGAAAGAATTCACAAGGCAGAAGCACTTTTATAATCCAAGTAACTTCATGAGGGAAAGGAAAGCTTCAGGTATTACAGTCTGGAAAAGTACTCGCTATTTCTAGAAAGTGTGCAAACCCGCGTGGGGTCCTCACAAGAGTTTGCGACTGAACAACAACCAAAAAACACATGAAAGAACACTGGAACTAGGAGTGTGGAACCAGGAATCCCCCGAGACCAAGAGGATGCCTCAGGGTCCGGAAGCGTTTACTCACCTCGCAAGTGGGCGAGCCCCCTGGAAAGAGAAGAGAGGCTTGACCTGCCACAGTGGACATTTATCTCCACTGGCTGGGGTGGTGTGGTTGAGGGTACTAGTCAAGCTTATTGGCTGAGTTCAGGTGCATCTGTGTGATGTCACGTGCCTAAACTGTGGCCAGGTTTAGCTTCACCTGTACCTGGGTGGTCCTAGTCTGTGTGTCCTCAGATTGATTTTCCCAAAGGTCTCTAATTAGTGTGCCCAATTTCTCTATATCCCCTAGGCAGGTATCTGGGTAAACAACCCCCCTCGATCCCTATTCTGGCTACCTAGCATAACTATTACATTTAGTTTTACATTCTAACTTCTGTTTGAAAATGAAGAACTAGAGTTGGATAAAATGTAAGTATTCTAGTGAGGAAATCACAAAACAAATGCCCCTTCATGAAATGTAAGTCATGGTTTGCAACTTTATACTCAGTGTCCTATAAGAGTAATATTCCATCTGAATTCTTGGTTTAATGAAAGTAAAAGAACTCTGTAGTAGATACAAAGATTTGCTAGATAACCTCGCATCCTTCCTTCTTTAGGCCATGGTTAAAATCAATTTTTGATTTTAACTCATGGTGACCTTAGGTGTCTCAGAATGCAACTGTGCTTCATAACGTTTTCAATGGCTGATTTTCCAAAAATAGATCACCAGACTTACTATTCCAAAGAGCCTATCCAGGGTGGACTTCGCCCTTCAACCTTTTGGTTAGTACTCAAAAATACATGAACTATTTGTACCAGCCAGGGCCACCATCTCCCTTTCTCTCAAAACCCCCCCAAACTCACAGCCATCAAGTCAATTCTGACTTCACAGTGAGTCTACAGGACGGGGTGTAACTGCCCTGACACTGTAACTCTGCATGGAAGTAGAAACCCTCATCTCTTTTCAAGGAGCTGCTGGTCCTTTTAAACTGCAGACCTTGAGGTTAGCGGCCCCATCCATAACCACTATGCCACCAGGGATCACGTCGCTTCTTCTAGCAATTCTAACAGTAGAGTTAGCCTTAGAAGCATATAAAAGAGTATTCTATTTAAATATTTTATGAACTATTTACCAACTTTTGCAGTTATTATTTTAACAGCTTAACAAATCACTTAAAATTCTTCAAATTGTCACATTGATCTACTTAAATCATCTGTGCTTGTGTTTGTTTTTTGTGTAAATCCTCTCTTCTTTCAGTAGAATATTGCATATTGTGACCCTTTCCTTAGAATTATTTTGCTAAAGAATGTTCAAGGAACACAAACACAGATCTCACACTGGACATGGAAAACATATCACAGTACACTTGTTAAGCCCTAAAAAACTGAATCATGTATTTTTTTCTCTTGTCTAATTGTCAAGTAAACTTCTTCTACATCCTGGATTGCTTCCACGTTGGGCAATAATGGAGAAGGACGCTGGCCTTGACTCAGTCTGAAGGCAGTGGACGGGAAATAGAATTTGTGTTATTGTTAATGAATTCAGTTTTTGCAGTTGCATATTCCTTGTGCGTGACATAATTGTAAAAGAATGACTGGGTGATCATTTATTCTATAATTTTCCTTCACTATTCCCTTAATGAAAAGAGCGTGCTTCAACAGAGTCAACCCACAGCCTGATGCTGGTCATGAATTGAAGTATTTCTAATTGGTCAGATTTCACTTTGGCTGCACCTCAAACTTAATAGAAGGAAGGATGTTCTCTGTCTCTGGTCTTCCAGGTGTGCTCCCCAAGTTAGCAATGTAAGCATTACTGGCAACTGAATAGATATGCAAATCCTCCCTCCTTACCTCAGAGCCCTCCCCCAATCTACGGAATCTGTAAGACCAGCAGCTTGTGATGTGAAAAGCCATCTGGGTGGTGATCAAGTTTATTAACCAAATCTGTAATAATAAATGATCCTTTAAGTACCATTTTAATGTAATTAGGTCTAGGTGCATAGTGATATGTGCAAACTGAGGGCATATGATAATTGATTCATCAATCTTAGAGTTTCTTACAAGTGTTTAAGTGATGTAAAAGCCTATCAATATGTATGTATCTTCCCCACAGAAAATCACATCTTGGAGGATGTGAACAAGTGTGTAATAGCCCTCCAAGAGGGGGATGTGGATACACTGGACCGGACCGCAGGGGCCATCAGAGGCCGGGCAGCCCGAGTTATCCACATCATTAATGCTGAGATGGAGAACTATGAAGCTGGGGTTTATACTGAGAAAGTGCTGGAGGCTACGAAATTACTCTCTGAGACAGGTAAGCAAGGATACTTGATCTGAATAATATGTTAATGCCATGATTAATTTTCATAAACGAGTAAATTAATTTTACTGTTCTCTTTAGGTCTTTATCCTTCTAAATGATTCATGACCATGAAAGGGGTGGACAATTGAGTACTGTCTCGATAACTATTGAGATTGAATTTGAATAATTGTAGCACAGTCACAATAATATTATGGCTTTGCTTGTGTTACTGGAATTGCAGTTTTGTCTTTCACTCTGGTCAGAGAGGTAATGCTGGAGAATATTACTTAAACCTCTAGAGCAGTGGTTCTCAACCTTCCTAATGCTGCAACCCTTAAATAGAGTTCCTCATGTTGTAGTGATCCCCAACCATAAAATTATTTTCATTGCTACTTCATAACTGTAATGTTGCTGCTGTTATGAGTCAGGTGACCCCTGTGAAAGGGTCGTTTCACTGCATTTGACTGCCAAAGGGGTCAGGACCCACAGGTTGAGAACCATTGCTCTAGAGGGTAGTCATGCCATTAAAAAAAAGTAGGGAGGTCACAGAACAAAAGTGGCTCATCTTACACAAGGCCTGGGGATTGAAAGGTGAGGCAGTGGCCGTTAGGGTCTGAGAATTTCTGATCCCAGCGTACTCTGTTCCCACTGGAGGACATTGACTACTGAATTGTATAGTCCAAAGTTGGTTTCTGAGCCAATTCCTGGGGGAAAGTAGATTAAATTTTCCTTTAAGAGAGAGAAGGCCTGGCTTCAGGAATTTCTCCGAGGTCTAGTCCCACTCATTTATATAAGGCAGCAGTTCTCAACCTGTGGGTCGCAAACTCTTTGAGGGTTGAACGACTCTTTCATAGGGATTGCCCGATTCATAACAGTAGCAAAATTGTAGTTATTAAGTAACAAAGAAAATAATTTTATGGTCAGGGGTCACAACAGCATGAGGAACTGTATTAAAGGGCCGTGGCATTAGGACTGTTGAGAACCACTGCTATAAGGGAACCATCTGTCTCTAGTCTAGTGATCTTTACTTTTGTTCCCTTGACTGGTTTCATTTCTATATATGACCATCCGAGTTGCCATGAACTACATGTGGCCTCCTTACAACCCCATATTGATTAAAGTAGAACTGAGCCCCCTACTTTCAATGGCTAATTTTTCAGAAGACGAGAGCTAGGCCTTTGTTCAAAAACACCTTTTAGCGGACTCGAACCTCAAACGCTTGGTCTAGCTGCTGAGCACATTAATCATCTACATCGCAGAGGGACTCTATTCATCCATTTCTTTATAGCTTTATATGGATGTTGTTGTTGTTGGGTTGTAAATGTCTGTCAAGTCAGCTATGATCCACAGGGCTTTATGTGCAATACCTTGGTCCTGGGTTGCTTTCACCATTGCTCTACGGTTAAGCCCATTGTTGCATTCACTGTGGTAATCCACCTCAGCAAGGGTTTTCTTTCACACTCGCCATGGCTTTTTCCAAAGTATGATGTCCTTTTTCAGGGATGGATTCCTCCTGATAACATGGCCAAATTATGTGGGACAAAATTTTACCACCCTTGCTTCTAAGCAGCATTCTGACTGTCCTACTTCTTTCAAGACAAATTTATTTGTTTCTCCTGTGCTTTCAATATTCTCCACCATGACCAGAGTTCCAATCAGATTGTCTCCAGTCTGTAGTCATTGCTCTTACTTGCATACGAGGCCATTGAAAGTGCCGTGGCTTAGCTCTCGTAGCTTACTCCTTAAAATGACACCTTTCCGTTGAATGTTTCTGAAGAGCTCTCTTTGCAGCAGACTGGGCTAATGTAACATATAATTTGATTTCTTGACTACCGTAGTTATTAATGGTGGGTCTAAATAAAAATTTTAGAATCCTTGAAAATTTCAATATGTTCTTCTTTTTCCTTATTTTGTTTATTGGTCTAGTTATGAAGGATTTTTGTTTTCTTTATATTAAGGTGTATTCCATACTGTCAACTATAGTCTTCAATTGTCATCAGTAGAGGCTTCACATCTCCACTTCCATTAAACAAAGTTATGTTATCCGCATAACCCAAGTTACCACTGAAACTTCCCCCAATCCTGATTGCATATTCTTCTTCAAATAGTCCAATTTCTTGGATTACTTGCTCTCTAAGTATAGAGTCTAAGTATGATGAAAGGACCAACCACCCTAACACACATTTCCTGATTTTCAACTAGTGAGGGCCAACTTGTTTTGTGTGAGTGGCTCCTTCTTGACCTCTCTACAGATAATTTATAATCACAATTAAGTGGAATTCATATTATTTACAATGGCATCCATAGTTTTTAATGATCCACACAGTTGAATGTCTGCAGCGTCAATAAAACGCAGGTAAACATCCTTTCCACAGACCCAGAGGCAGTTGTTTAAACAGAACAAGGGAATGCAGCATGCTTTAGAATCAGGAAAGGTGGACATACCTTTCTTCAGAAGCAGTACGGCTAGAATATTCCTTCGAGGCACACATGGCACGCTCCCACGCTTTGGACTTGTTATTGAGAAGGACTAGTCCCTGACAAGGACATCATCCATGCTAAAATAGAGGGTCAGCAAAAGACACCAAGACCCTTGGTGAGATAGATTGGTACAACCGCTGCAATGATAGGCTCAAATATACCAATAATTGTTTGGATGGCTCTGGACCACTCAGGGTTTCATTCTTTTACACACAGGGTAACTACCACTTGGAACCAATTGAACAGCCCCTAACAACAAGAACAACAACAAACATCTTTCTGGCCTCCTCCGCTTTCTGACAAGTTCTATCTGATGTCAGCAATAATATCCCATCTTTCAAGTGTTGGGAAGTTCCCTGTGGATGTCCTATTGGAATTGTTTCTGAATTGCCTTCAGCCAAATGTTGCTTTCATGTCATGTGATAGTGCTCCATACTTTCTACCCATTTCTTCTGAAATGGATACAAATATGACTCCCTTCCAGTAGATTAACCAGCTAGCTGTCTTCCAAACTTCTTGCTATAGATTAGTGCTTGCTTTCATCATTGCATCTGTTGTCGAACTATCTCATCCAGTATTCCATCAGTTCCTGGAGCCTTGTCTATTACAAATTCCTACAGTGCAACTTGGACTTCTTCCTTTAGTATCACTTATTCTGGATAATTTGCTACTTCCTGACGAGGGCAATGTAGATCAAATTTTGGTGGAGCACAATGACTGTATATTCCTTTCTTCTGCTCTTGATACATCCTGCATAGTTCAGTGTCATTCGATATTTTGCCAATTAAAATCTTGAAAATTTGTATTCTGTTCTTTTAGGGTGAGAAGAGCTGAATATGCTCTTACAGTTTGGTTTTCTAACTACAGATTATTGATGGATTCATAATACTACACTTAGCCTTCTCAAGGTGCCTTTTGAAACATCCTAGACAGTTCATTTATGTTGTCATTTTTTTCTATTTACTTACACATTCTATGGTCAATAACATGTTTCAGAGTCTCTTTTGGCATCTCTCTTCATCTTTTCTTTCTTGTCTTTTTGAGTCTTTTGGTTTATTCCTGTATGATGAGTTTGATGTTATTCTATAGCTCATCTGTTCTTTACTCATTCATGTTCAATAAGTCTAATATATTATTGGGATGGTTTATAAATATAGATTGGATATATTCAAGCTCATATGCTAGCTTTTGGAGACTTGGTTAATTTCCCCCAGCTTCTATTTAAATTTGCAAATGAGCAGTCGATGTTCTCTTCCACAGTTGGCTCTGGGCCCTTTTCGAAATGATGGTATTGACCATCTCCATTGCCTCATTCCAAAAATATAGTAGATAAACTCTTCCTGTGTATTCCATTGATTGAGGCTCACATGTATACTCACCATTCATGTTGTTGAAAAAGAAATTTACAACGAATACCATATATACTCGTGTATGAGTTGAATTTTTCAGCACATATTTTATGCAGTTTTTGTGGTAATATGAGGTGCCTCGGCTGATATTGGGGTTGGCTTATACTCGAGTATATACGGTAACTTGTTGGTCTTGAACAATTCCCCCATGCACTCCCTAGGATTATTACCAGTGCCATGTTTTTCAACCACGAGTCCATTTTCTTTTCTTCCACCTTTCACATTCCAGTCTCCAAAAATTAGCAATGGATCTTGACTGCATATTTGATCAATTTGAGACTATAGAGGTTGATACAATTTTTTAGTTTCTTTATCTTTGGTATTCATAATTGGTATATAAATTTGAATAATACTTGGATTAACTAGTCTTCCTCATAGGTGTATGAGTATATACTTTTATATTATACTTCAGGATAGAGCTTGAAATTTTATTTTTAATGATGCTAGAGCCCTTGTGGCATAGAGGCTTACCTGCTATGGTTCTAACCACACGATCAGTAGTTTAAATCCATTCGCCATTCAACATTTGTTTTTAAGTTCTCATTCCTGGCATAGAAGACCATCTAATTTCCTGATTCAAAATGGCTAATATCAGTTCATTTCAGATCAGTAATGCCAGGGAAAACAATCTTGATGAGCTATTTCATCTTTTAGTATTCCAACCTTCCTAGATTCATGCTTCATACATTGCACAATCTGTATATTAATAGATATTTCTTCTCATTTTGAGTAATACTACATCAGAAGATGTAGTATTTTCAGGTCTGAAAAACATAACTCCATGAACACTATTAAGGCCAACTATATTTGGCAGGTCTTCTCCAATGGGATTGAGAATGTCTTTCCTCCTGCGGGGCTAGTCTTTAGGTATTTTATCAGAAAATGTTGCATTGACATTTTTTCAGAAGTAGATTTCAAGCTTCCCCTTAGTAGTCTTCCTTAGTCTGAAAGTTTTGCTAAAACATGTCTACCACGGTGACGCTGCTGTATTTGAAATAGCCTCCAGTGTCAAAGCAACACGCAGGCCACCCAAGTGCACCAAACTGATTAATGAGTGTTTTTATCTGTAAAATCATTCAGTCACCTTAAGGACCTTATAAAATAGAGAGAGAGATCATTTTT